TAGCCTTATAAGCCCTTGCAAAGTTTTCTAACTTACCAATGTGAAACATTTTCACCTTCACATTCTCACACTGTTGCCATACATATTACTCGCTATTTTTAAACAAAATTCTTGAAACATAGGATGCCATGGCAGACAAAACTTTCCATAGTTTATTTTATATACATTTCAATAATATTATGTGCTATAACATTTGGTTCCACACAATCAAACATATCCTTGCAGTCAGTCCCACTTTATCTCTCAGAAATGGCACTACCTAGACACAGAGGAGCTTTCAACATTGGCTTCCAATTATGTGTTGGCATTGGAGTATTATCAGCTAACCTCATCAACTTTGGCACCGAAAAGATCAGAGGCGGCTCTGGCTGGCGAATCTCCCTATCCTTGGCAGCAGTCCCAGCTTCAATACTAACTTTGGGTGCTATTTTCCTGCCAGAAACACCCAACAGCGTTATCCAAAGCACCAACGACCACCAAAAAGCCAAGTCAATGCTACAACGAACACGAGGATGCGAAGATGTCCAAGCAGAACTGGATGATCTCATCAAAGCAAGTGAAAATTCAAAAACCATCAAACACCCTTTTAAGAAATTGATGCAAAGAAAATATAGGCCTCAACTTGTTATGGCAATTGCCATGCCATTCTTTACACAAGTGACTGGGATCAATGTCTTCTCATTTTATGCCCCGATACTTTTTAGAACACTTGGTTTAAGTGAAAGCATGTCACTCTTGTCAGCTGTGATGAGCACCGGCGCTGCGGGTACTGGCGCGACGTTTATATCAATGCTTATGGTGGACAAACTAGGCAGAAGAACTCTGTTTGCAATAGGGGGAATTCAAATGTTTGTGTCACAAGTTATAGTAGGGAGCATAATGGCAGCTGAGCTAGGTGACATTGGTGGAATGAACAAAGGGTATGCATATTTGGTGCTGATCTTTGTGTGTGTGTATGTAGCTGCGTTTGCTTGGTCATGGGGCCCACTAGGGTGGCTGATCCCAAGTGAGATTTTCCCATTGGAGATAAGATCAGCTGGGCAAAGTGTTACAGTGGCAGTAAACTTTGTGTCGACTTTTGTTATTGCTCAATCATTTCTGTCCATGCTTTGTCACTTCAAGTCTGGGATTTTCTTCTTTTTTGGAGGTTGGGTTATGGTGATGACTGGTTTTGTGTACCTCTTGTTGCCTGAGACTGCAAATATTCCTATTGAGAAGATGGATAGGGTGTGGAGAGAGCATTGGTTTTGGAACAGATTTGTGCGATAAGTGAGGGGGGATAGTGATTAATTAAGCTGTAATTAATGATGTGGTAAATTGATTGTTAATCCATCTAACCAAAAAGGTTAGAGGTTAATTGGATTGTACCACTTTAGGGTTATTGGCGTGATGTAATTTGGGACCATATGTAGAAGTTTACTGAAAAAACAAATCACATGAGAGAGGGCTATGACGGTTTGTCCTTACTCGGCGGCATGTCTGAATATGAACTAAACTAATTAAAAAATCATATCTTAAACCAATGAATTAGACCTTAATTTAAGCTAACAGGCTTAGTTTATGCTAAATGCCTAATAATCATGCATTATGATAAGTGACTAGTAATTTGCCCATATCAAGGACACTTGGCATAACCAAGGAAAGCTCAGGTTTTTTTTAAGCATCAGTTTTTGGCAGCTTCTAAGCTAACATTGCTGGTCAAGCATGGATATGGCTGTTTTTTCATTCTTTTATTGTATTTTCTTCCTTCCCTAATATTTTACTTTATTTATGTGGAAAAATAAAAGATTCTGTTCCAAACTTCCAATAATTCCAATAATTCACTCAACTTTTTATTGTAGCCTAGCGGTACTCTTCTGTCCCAACAATTGGTAAGTTGAATGGTCCTGCTTGAATATTGAGTTTTGTAACATGACGTGTCTGATAGAGACTCTGATTGCAACTAGTCCAAAAAGATTTGTTTGATCTCAACCAGTCAAGTAAGACTGCTCTACATTTGCTGTTCTCTTTGTACAAGTTACATCTTTGAATTCTCTCTTCCCCTCTCTCTGTGCTCTCTTGTGGGTGAGCTTGGAAGAAGCTAGCCATGGCAGTTGGGTTGGCAATATCAAGTGCAGGAGGGCAATACAATGGCAAGATGACACCATTTGTGCTCCTCTCTTGCATGGTGGCAGCCACAGGAGGAGTTATTTTTGGCTATGACATTGGAATTTCAGGTCTCAATTTCATACTCAAATCAGTTCATTTAAATTTGCAAAACTATATAATGTTAAAGTCAGCGAACTTTATGCAAGTAAACTGCTATATGTGAAGGTGGAGTGACATCAATGGAACCATTTCTCAAAAAGTTCTTCCCAGAAGTGTACACCAGGATGAAATCCGACATGAAAATCAGCAACTATTGCAAATTCGATAGCGAATTGTTGACCTCCTTCACATCCTCACTCTACATAGCTGGCCTTTTAGCTTCCCTTTTTGCCAGTTTGGTCACTAGAGCATATGGCCGCAAGCCTTCCATCCTTGCTGGGGGTGCTGCATTTCTTGCCGGTTCGGCTTTAAACGGTGCAGCTTTGAACATCTACATGCTAATCCTCGGTCGCATCTTGCTTGGTGTTGGTGTTGGTTTTGCTAATCAGGTAGTATTTTTTGCCCCTAAACCAAATGCAGGTTTTTTCTTGTTACTTTGTTGCATAATCTATTTGTTTTGTGCAGGCTGTTCCTTTGTATCTTTCGGAAATGGCACCAGCAAAACACAGAGGAGCAATTAACAATGGCTTCCAATTTAGTGTTGGCATTGGTGCTCTGTCAGCTAACCTCATCAACTACGGCACTGAAAAGATCAAAGCCGGTTGGGGTTGGCGAATCTCCCTAGCCATGGCTGCAGTCCCTGCCTCAATGCTAACACTTGGTGCATTTTTCCTTCCTGAAACACCAAACAGTCTCATTCAGCGCAGCATAGACCACCAAAGGGCCAAGCAAATGTTACAGCGCATCAGAGGCGTTGATGATGTAGAAGCAGAGCTTGATGATCTCATCAAAGCAAACAACGTATCGAAAACTATCAAATACCCTTTCAAGAAAATCTTAGAGAGAAAGTATAGGCCTCAACTTGTCATGGCAATAGCCATACCATTTTTCCAGCAAGTGACAGGGATCAATGTCATAGCCTTTTATGCCCCGATTCTTTTTCGAACAATTGGTTTGGGAGAAAGCGCATCGCTTTTGTCTGCTGTCATGACCGGCGTAGTTGGTACAATCTCAACCTTCATATCTATGCTCATAGTGGACAACTTTGGGAGAAGAGCTTTGTTCATGGTAGGGGGAATTCAAATGTTGGTGTCACAAATTATGGTTGGGGGTGTGATGGCAGCTCAGCTTGGTGATCATGGTGGAGTGAGCAAAGGGTATGCATATTTAGTGCTGGTTTTGATATGCATATATGTAGCAGGATTTGGGTGGTCATGGGGGCCTCTTGGATGGCTGGTGCCTAGTGAGATTTTCCCGTTGGAAATTCGATCAGCCGGGCAAAGCATCAATGTGGTTGTGAATTTTTTGTTCACTTTCATTGTTGCTCAAACTTTTCTAGCAATGCTTTGCCACTTCAAGTCCGGGATTTTCTTCTTTTTTGGGGGTTGGGTGATGGTGATGACCGTGTTCGTCTACTTGTTTTTGCCAGAGACGAAGAACGTGCCTATTGAGAAGATGGAGATGGTGTGGGTGGAGCACTGGTTTTGGAGGAGAATTGTGGGGGATTTTAGCAAGGACGCTAAGATAGAAGCGCCTTGATGCGGTTGTATTGTGAATTGTAATGATACAAAATTCACATTACAATAGGATATGTATAGATATAGAAGTAAGGCACTTTCTGTGTTCGTTTTGAGGTTCGAATGTCATTTTGATGTTGGGCTCCTCTTTCAGTTATTTGGATCTATTGGGCTATCTCTGGCCCCTTACCTTTTGAGACATGACACATTTTCAAACTATAATAATATCAAAACATTTTCATCATAATTCATCAAGGTAAATAAAGTACATTCATAGTCTCCAATTAAATAAATAAATTTTTTATGTATTACATAGTTTTTAAAAAAAATTATAAAACAGAGTAGATCCATTCATATTACAAGATTACACATGAAGAACACTGCTCCAAAGGAGGGCTCTTGTAAATAAAAAAGCAATAAATATAAACAATAAAATACAACCAATGCAAAAACAGTGAGCAAACTATAAATTACATAGTTTATTTATTTATACACAAGCGATATTAAGTGAAATGATAATCGAACCTTAGAACCTCAAGTGTAAGAAGTAAATACTCTTAATCAAGTTCCTCGTGCCTGTTACATAGTTGACAGACAGTAATATTATCTTTTTTTTGGCTGACCGCGTAGTTGAATTTTGTAAATTTATGTCACATCCATAAGATAACACATTCAATCACGACTTGATAATATTAATAGATTTGGTTCCTTTGATTTTATATTTGCAAGTAGGAGACCCAATAAAACACAAAATGTCAAAACGTGGGACCTTCAAAATAGGCAACAACCGTTTCATGAAAATAAAAATAAAAATAAAACAAAGATAGGGACACTGCAGTCTACTATAAACAAAAAAAAAATGTTAATCTCAGTCTACACACACAACGGTTATATTCAGTTGAAGTACCCTCCAGAATCCTGGTCCGCGTTTGAGCGCCAACGTGGCGGGACACTATTGGTGGGTTTACTCGACT